ACTCGTCTCAGACACAGTGTTGGTAAGCCCACAAGCTCTAACCCCTAGTAGCCAAAATGAGTTTAAAAAAAAAAACAACAAACGTCGCTGGAGAGATTCTTTGAAAAGGGGGAAAGACCCAATGATGAACCCCCCCCCCGCGCCCCCAGGTCCGTGAAAGAATTGTCTTCCACGAAATCGATGCCTGGTGCCAAAAGGGTTGGGGACCGCTGTTCTAGAGTCCGCGGTTTTCGCAACGCGTGGTTCGCAGACCCCTTCTGGTTCCCGAGGCCACCTGCAGGGGCAGTCCGCCGAAAAGAACGAGACTAATGATACGGTCTACAAGCAGGCATTGTCAGGGTCCACATCGAACCCCACGGCCTCCTGTATGCCAGGCGAGGTAGTTAACATCTCCTAGCCACCGTGATGATGATGAGAGAGAGAGACACGCAAACTACAGTTATACAGCAGGCATTGTCAGGGTCCACATCGAACCCCACGGCCTCCTGTATGCCAGGCGAGGTAGTTAACATTTCCTAGCCACCGTGATGATGATGATGATGAGAGAGAGAGAGACACGCAAACTCCACATATACAGCAGCAGCAGGCGTCAGGGTCGGGATCGAACCCACGACCTCCTGTACACCAGGCGAGGTAGTTAACATCTCATAGCCACCGTGATGATGATGAGAGAGAGAGAGACACGCAAACTCCAAATATACAACAGCAGCAGCAGGCGTCAGGGTGGGGATCGAACCCACGACCTCCTGTATGCCAGGCGAGGTAGTTAACATCTCCTAGCCACCGTGATGATGATGAGAAAGAGAGAGAGACGCAAACTAGAGTTATACAGCAGGCATTGTCAGGGTCCGGATCGAATCCCACGGCCTCCTGAATACCAGGCGAGGTAGTTAACATCTCTTAGCCACCGTGATGATGAGAGAGAGAGAGAGACACGCAAACTCCGAATACACTACGATCGATAATCATCGATTATGCGGCGGCTTCGGTGGGGGGAGGGAGCGTCGGATTTGTCAGATTTCCAAGAAGGCCGAAAAATCACTAAATTAAGTATTATTATTTTAAATAGCTCATTCTTTTTGCACGTTCTTTCATAACATTATGGTTGATTTGATGTCGTGTATACGTTTTTTGTGAGTGTCTTCCATTCGTTGACTAAATTTGCATGGATAAACATGCCAATGGCCAAAAATAAATATCCCACTCTAAAAAGTTGCCATATTTCATGTACCGTACCTGGCCACGCTCCAATCTCGAAGACTCTGCATCATCATGTGGTTGATGTACATGGCACCACTCCGCTCTAGCTTCAACATAACCATGATGCATTTGCTTACTCTATGAAATTGGCATAAATAAACACACACGCACAAACAGACACAACGCAGCTCTTCTTACTCGAGTTATTAGTCACGAAACAATGTGTTGACACGTGCAGTATGTTAACGCTTTAAGTTGTATGTATGTCGTGTATCATGTTCCGTATGTAATATTTAATGTTGTTATTACTTCAGTCATTAGTCACCAAACAATGTGCTGACATGTGCAGTATTTTCACTCTTTAAGTTGTGCGTGTATGTAGCGTATCATGTACCCTATACGACATTTGAACACTGAAATCAAGCGCTTCTACCTTTGTTGTGATTGTGGTGCCGATGGCCAGACTGTGGCTCAACAAGCCTTTGGAGCCGGCTGATTTATGGCCGGTTTCGCCGGATATGGCCACCGCCGGAGAATGTTGGTAAGCGACCATGAACAATCGACGATCGACATTAGCAGCAGCAGCAGGAGCAGCAACAATAATCACATCAACAACGATGCTAGCTACGCACAACCCTCACCAAAGGAAACGTGACGATTTTTAAGCGGCTTAAGGGAGGGTGTCAGCGGGTTGTTTTGGGGAGGTTGGTCGGAAATTAAAGGTGTTGGTTCCGCACACACTTGGGGACAGCTGTCCCTAGACCAGTGGTTCGTTTTAACCTGGGGGGGTTGTGGGCGGTGTGCGAGATTCCCTTTCTGAGAGTCAAAGAGCGCCACGGGCTGCAGTCAAGGTTCAAGGACAACAGCTCTAGACTAAAGGGGTGTGGGTAGCCTTTAAAAAAAGGAGAAGATGATGATGATGATGATCGAGACATCTTTTGTTGATTTTCTTTTCTTTCGTCTTGGAACCAAAGTAGTTTCGAGCACGCAGCACGCACCACGCGTCACACGTTGGGCGCAGAGCCACTGCTTGCGAACGTACACAGACATGACAGCTCGATAGCCACACACGCGCATTCAGACTGCAAATAAACTAAGCCGGCGACGGGATAAACTCGCGTCTATTTAATTGTATTTTCTCCCCACCCCCCCAACCACCACCACCACCACCAGCCCACCTCCGACGCGCGGCATTGTCCTTGTCCTGTTCGCCTTTTGGCGTTGGTCTATGGTCCGACACCGGTGGTGAGACTTGGCCTCTTCGACACAACTGCTGTGCGTGGTCAACGCAGTACTCGAGGGCTTGCAAGAGGCATCTCTGTTGTGTTTGAACATCTCGACGCAACTCGTTTTACTGCCGGACAAAGGGGGTCTCACCGACTCTTATTGTTCATACTTTGATGCTGGCAAATAGGTCCCACGGGATATGAACCTTTTGCAAGGAATCAAGTTACTGCATTGGCCACACGCACAGTACGCTGTGGTGAACATGCAAACGAACACGTGGCTCTGATCATCTGTGATGCATTGTTTTTTTTACTGATTGTCTTATAATAATGATCTGTTTCAATGAGTTTCAAAGACAATGCACCATATATTACCAGGATTTGTTTGCATGCTCGCCACAAGCACTGTTGTGCGGTTATTGCAGGAACTTGATTCCCTGCATAGATACCATCTATTTTAATGTTTGAACATCTTAACGCATCTCCTGTTGCAATACCAGAAAGGGTGACACCGCTTCTTATTTTTCATACTTTGATGCTGGCAAAAAAAGGGTATCACATGAAACAGCTGCTGCTCACCCCGAGCTATAAACGCTCTGATATGTGTGGCATTGTACTTGTACTGGTCGCCTGTTAGCGTTCTCTGGTCTGACACTGGTGGTGAGACTAGGCCAGGGGTGGGCACATTTTTTGACTCGCGGGCCACAATGGGTTCTAAAATTTGACAGAGGGGCCGGGCCAGGAACTAGATGGATGGAGTGTTTGTGTGAACTCATATAAATGACGTGTTAAAAATCATTACGTGAAAGGATGTGGCCTTTAACGGGTAGCAAAGCATTTATTTGCAAGGCAATTTAACAAATTGCACGAACATGAACAATACAAAAATATGTCGTAACTCTCGGTCAAAGTGCGCCATCTAATGGCGAAATGGGGGCATTACAGGAGAAAGGTAAAATTTAATTTAATAATAATATTTGGACAAGTTCGGCGGGCCGGATTAAACAGCCTAACGGGCCGTATACGGCCCGGAGGCCGTACATTGCCCATGTCTGGCACTAGGCTCTAAAGAAAGCTGTCTCTGGTGTAGGCCAGTGAGTTTAAAAGACAATGCATCATAGATGATCAGAGCCACGTGTTTGTTTGCATGTTCACCACAACGTACCCATTAGTTCCATTTAGTTCATAGTTCCATTTATTTGGTATAGCCCTGTGAGCCATTCGGCTCTTGAATCGGGTGCAACCGCAACAAACAAAAACATGAACAAGAAAAACATCTTAAAGTGACTTTGTGTGACTGTGCAAACAGAAAATCCAGGAATAAAACATCAAAATATTCCTGAAATAGCACCGTACACCAACGCTGTGTGCAAAAATCCCAGTGGGATGCAAGTCAAACAACAACAACAACCACATGACAACTAAGATTAAGGCCATCAGTCTAACTCCGTACTACAATAAACAAAAACATGGCAAAACCAAAAAAACTTTTGGAAATCACCAAAATAAAGCCATAAATGCAAAGTAGCAGTGATCATAGGGACTGTGACCGTGTGTGTGTGTGGTTAAAGCAGTAAGTTGATTCCTTGCAAATGGTTGAATCTATCTGGTGTTTGAACATCTTAACACAACTCCTGTTACTGCCAAAAACACGGGGTCCCATGATCTGTCCAGTTGGTGGGACCGAACCCCCCCGGGGCCACTCACTGCTCTACTGCCACCTGCTGGCTACCCGCAACCAGTGTTTGTTGTTTGCGAGCACTCATTTATTATTATTACACGCTTTTATTTAACTCTGTTGTTGTTGTATCCTCAAATCTTGCGACTCAATTTTAACCCACTTTCCAATGTGGTATCGACTGCAAACTTGGTATACGTATGTCATATCGATGACAATACGATATTCTATCATAATAAATAAATAAATAATTCCCATTACGTCTTATGTTTCGGCTTGGCTCTAATTGTCCACGCTCAACTGACGTTGGCTGTAATTGGCCACGGTCCCCTTACGTCGTGGCAAGCTTCGGGGCCACTTCCTGGAGTCGTGGAGTTCTTCCATTACTAGCACATTTAATTAAAGCGTGTTTTGATTTTTTAAAATATTACTTACGTACTATGTATATACACACACACACCAGTGTTCTTCACCGACTCTATATAACCCATTGGCGACTCCGGCCTCATTCCGCAAAACGTCGCCCACATCAGATACGATCGAAACATCGCAGTCGGTCAGAGGTGAGAGGGCACAACCCTGCATCACGTGTCCTGACATGAGCCTTCTGATGCGTTCGCGTCACCCGAGGTCACGCGCCGCCCGAGGTCACGCGTCACCCGAGGTCACGCCCTCCCCGAGGTCACGCGTCACCCGAGGTCACGCCCTCCCCGAGGTCACGCCCCTCCCGAGGTCACGTGCACACTGCGCAACTGCCCTTTGCGCTGCCGGTACACCCGGCCCATTCGATGCGTTTGGAGTGTCTGGTCGCTGTAAATTTCCACGCGATGACAAGCCACTTCATTAAATGCCATTCCGTCTTTGTCTCTCTCCCTCTCTGTCTCTCTCCTCAACAGGTTTCATCTGGCAGTGTCTGCGCCGTGACTGACCCGGACGATTTCCAGGGCGCCTTCTACCCTGCCCAGTAGCTCAGTGCCTGAGAGAAAAGAAGAAAACAAATCACGACATTCCGTGACCGAGAACTGCTTCTCCTTCTGGGAACCGCCGATGGGTTTACTTTTTTTCTGTTGCACAATTTGCAAAAGGCCGAGTTCCTCGTGAACAATTTTGTAAAAAATCCAAAACCTCGTTGGCGTATCCGGGCTCTGCTGTCGTAAGACGATGGATAATCCTGGCCAGTGACAGATTACGAGCCCACATCTGTCCGGGCGAGCTAATCGGCCTGCCCCGCTTGCCTGGCTGGTTTCCCTGCCCGCCTGCCCGCCTGCCCGCCTGCCTGCCTGCTTGGCCACATTTTGTCGGCCCCCAACTTTTTTGCGGCCTCTGGTTCCTGAGAGGTCGCGGGTGTTGGCGGGCGGCTGTTGTTGTTGTGCGGTGAGCAGTTTGGTGAGCCGTGGGAGGAAGAGAGTGGTTGCGGGAGGGGGAGGCGGTGGTGAGCGATGGCGGTGAGCAGCGGTGAGCGTTAAGCGGGCCCGGTGACTGTCGGCGAACGGTGGCTGGGGTGGGTGGAGTGGGTGGTGAGTACGAGTGATAGCGACGATGGCACGGCGAGCGGTGCCGGTTAGCGATGACGGTGGGTGGCGGTGGCAGGCGGTGAGCGGCCGACTGGTGGTCGCTGTCCGGTGAACGCCGAACGGTGGAGGTGGGCCGCTTGGCATCGTCGGCGAGTGGCGGCCGGTCGGCGGTGGCCGCCGGAAGAAAAAAAAAAAAACAACTTTTTATTTTATTTTTTATTTCACGTCAGGTTGGGCCCACTGAGCTCTCCCTACATAGCAAACTTGTTTCTCTCCCAGAAGTGACCCCTGGCTGTCAGCAACTAAACAGAGGGCTCCGTCGAAGCGGGCTCAACCGTCGCACGGAAGGCTCGCGGACACTCCGCACCTCGCGATGCCGACCGCAGACACGGCGGGAGAGACCGCGCGAGTCGGGGGAAAACCAGCGCGGCCGCCACGGCAAGGGGGAGAACGCGCGACCTCCGTACGTGCCGAACCCGCGACCTCCCGCACACCGGGCGAGCGAGGTAACATCTCGCCGCGGCGGCTGCCGACGATGGGACGTCCGCTCGGCACCTCCGCGCCGCCGCTCCGCCCAGCGCCGGCGCTCCTCGTGGCTCTGGTGGTGCTGGCGGCGCTGTGCCAGCGCCCGGCCGCCGCCTGCCCCCGGCAGTGCACCTGCTACGTGCCCACGGACGTCCACTGCACGTTCCGCTACCTGGCGGCCGTGCCGGACGGGTTGTCCGCGGGAGTGGAGAGGATCAACCTGGGGTGAGGCGGGGGGAGGGGGGCTCGCGCAGGGTGGTGGTGGTGGTAGGGGGGGGGTTGCAACCAACTCGCTCGCTCACCCACCCACCCGCTCACCCAATCGCTCACCCACCGACTCACTCATTCACCGAGCCACTCAGTCACCGAGCCACTCAGTCACCCACCCACTCAGTCACCCACCCGTTCATTCACCCACTCGCTCGCCTACCCACTCACTCATTCACCCACCCACTCAGTCACCCACCCACCCACCCGCTCGCTCATTCACCCACTCTCTCACCTACCCACTCACTCATTCACCCACCCACTCAGTCACCCACCCACCCGCTCGCTCATTCACCCACTCGCTCACCTACCCACTCATTCATTCACCCACCCACCCGCTCACTCATTCACCCACTCGCTCACCGACCCACTCACTCGGTCACCCACCCACCCACTCACTCACTCGCTCACTCATTCACCCACTCACTCACCCAATCATTCAGTACTCACCCACCCACCCACCCACCCCCATTTATTCATTTGGTGAACATCTGAACCAGTGCAGGCCCTTCCCTCGGTCGACTCAGCCTTGAAACGAGCACCTGGTCCAGTGAGTAAACATCAGCATTGGGGAGACAAATGCGGCCGGGCGTGGTGCTGGCTACCCAACCCCCCCTCGTGTGTGCCGTGCCAGTCCTTCGTGGGCGCTGCAACTCGCCAAGCTGCACTTGCCCAATCGGCCTATGAAAGGCTATACGGCGGCGGGGGGGATCTTTATCTTTGCCTTGTGCGCGGTGTTCGCCGCATGCAGCTACAACAGCATCGCGCAGCTCGGAGCCGAGGCGTTCGCCAACCTGGGCGCTCTCGAGCTGCTCATGCTGCACAGCAACAACATCCAGAGCCTGCCCGCCAACGTCTTCAAGGACCTCGGGTCCATGCAGGTAACCCCGACCTCGCCGCTGACGATCGTCGCCCTCCTCCTGAGCGCCGGCATCGCGAGCCGCGATCAGTCCGCCGCCGGGTGAAGGTCTCCCCAAGCCGTCGCCGCCGCTCGTGGTTCCCGGCTGCAGAGTGAAGGGTCCATTCCTCTGACGTTGAGGATCCATGCTCGTTAAGGATCCATCCTGGACGTTAAGGATCCATCCTGGACGTTAAAGATCCATCCTGGACGTTAAGGATCCATCCTGAACGTTGAGGATCCATCCTGGACGTTAAGAATTCATCCTGGACGTTAAGGATCCATCCTGGACGTTAAGGATCCATCCTGGACGTTAAGGATCCATCCTGGACGTTAAGGATCCATCCTGGACGTTAAGGATCCATCCTGGACGTTAAGGATCCATCCTGGACGTTAAGGATCCATCCTGGACGTTAAGGATCCATCCTGGACGTTAAGGATCCATCCTGGACGTTAAGGATCCATCCTGGTCGTTAAGGATCCATCCTGGACATTAAGGATCCATCCTGGACGTTAAGGATCCATCCTGGACGTTAAGGATCCATCCTGGACGTTAAGGATCCATCCTGGACGTTAAGGATCCATCCTGGACGTTAAGGATCCATCCTGGACGTTAAGGATCCATCCTGGACGTTAAGGATCCATCCTGGTCATTAAGGATCCATCCTGGACATTAAGGATCCATCCTGGACGTTAAGGATCCATCCTGGACGTTAAGGATCCATCCTGGACGTTAAGGATCCATCCTGGACGTTAAGGATCCATCCTGGACGTTAAGGATCCATCCTCGACGTTAAGGATCCATTCTGGACGTTAAGGATCTATCCTGGACGTTAAGGATCTATCCTGGACGTTAAGGATCCATCCTGGACGTTAAGGATCCATCCTGGACGTTAAGAATCCATCCTGGACGTTAAGGATCCATCCTGGACGTTAAGGATCCATCCTGGACGTTAAGGATCCATCCTGGTCGTTAAGGATCCATCCTGGACATTAAGGATCCATCCTGGACGTTAAGGATCCATCCTGGACGTTAAGGATCCATCCTGGACGTTAAGGATCCATCCTGGACGTTAAGGATCCATCCTGGACGTTAAGGATCCATCCTGGACGTTAAGGATCCATCCTGGACGTTAAGGATCCATCCTGGTCATTAAGGATCCATCCTGGACATTAAGGATCCATCCTGGACGTTAAGGATCCATCCTGGACGTTAAGGATCCATCCTGGACGTTAAGGATCCATCCTGGACGTTAAGGATCCATCCTGGACGTTAAGGATCCATCCTCGACGTTAAGGATCCATCCTGGACGTTAAGGATCTATCCTGGACGTTAAGGATCCATCCTGGACGTTAAGGATCCATCCTGGACGTTAAAGATCCATCCTGGACGTTAAGGATCCATCCTGGACATTAAGGATCCATCCTGGACGTTAAGGATACATCCTCGACGTTAAGGATCCATCCTGGACGTTAAGGATTCATCCTGGACGTTAAGGATCCATCCTGGACGTTAAGGATCCATCCTGGACATTAAAGATCCATCCTGGACGTTAAGGATCCATCCTGGACGTTAAGGATCCATCCTCGACGTTAAGGATCCATCCTGGACGTTAAGGATCCATCCTGGACGTTAAGGATCCATCCTGGACGTTAAGGATCCATCCTGGACGTTAAGGATCCATCCTGGACGTTAATGACCCATCCTGGACGTTAAGGATCCATCCTGGACGTTAAGGATCCATCCTGGACGTTAAGGATCCATCCTGGACGTTAAGGATCCATCCTGGACGTTAAGGATCCATCCTGGACGTTAAGGATCCATCCTGGACGTTAAGGATCCATCCTGGACGTTAAGGATCCATCCTGGACGTTAAGGATCCATCCTGGACGTTAAGGATCCATCCTCGACGTTAAGGATCCATCCTCGACGTTAAGGATACATCCTGCTACTGCTGCTGCTTCTGGCTCGCCATCGAACAAAGACGGTGGTCTCCGTGTCGCGCGGCGCTTTCAGGTGCGCTTGTGCGTCCGTCTGGAATGCTCCTCTTTCCGATATCAGGAAGCCACTGGGAGCTCTGAACTTTAAGATCATCATCCAGATTGACAAGCTCATTTTATCAGCACTGCTTTTCTGCGTTGAGTTTGCTGTCCGTCCCCCTGCACACCTCCGATTATCCGCGGCAGGTCTACGTTACGGTGTGAAAGGAGTTCAACATACTCCATATACATTCCATGCGGAAAGACAATGCATGCAATAATTCTTGGAGAGGCCTTCATCCAGCAGCGGGATTGACCATGGCTGACGATGCTGACGATGACGACGTGAATGATGAACGTTTTGCGTGCGGCGGGAAATATAGAGACGGTGGCGCAAAAGTCAGGACGCATAGCTTTATTTAGTTATTTCTTGACACCGGCATGGAAACGTTTAAATGTTTCATCGTTTAAGATAGTGTTGTATCAATTAGTCGTATTGAATTTTTTTTCCTTTGCCTTATACTAAACACCGCCCGCCCGCCAACCCTCCTCACCCCCCCACTCCCACCCCCGCCTCACCGCCCCGCCCCCTGCCTACCGCCCCCGCCCACCCACCCCGCTCCGCCCACCGACACCAGGTCCTGAAGATGAGCTACAACAAGGTGAAGGTGATCAACCGCGAGACGTTCCACGGCATGGGCGCCATCGTCCGCCTCCACCTGGACCACAACAAGATCGAGTTCGTGCACCCGGACGCCTTCGGGGGCCTCTCCACGCTTCGCTTGCTGCACCTGGAGGGCAACCTCCTGCGCCAGCTGCACCCCAACACCTTCGTCACCTTCTTCCTGCTGGACCACGTGCGCGTCTCCGCCATCCGGCACCTGCACCTGTCGGACAACGACCTCGAGTCGCTGCCACGCGACATGATGGCCTACCTGGGCGGGCTGGAGAGCCTCTACCTGCACGGCAACCCGTGGGCCTGCGACTGCTCGCTGCGGTGGCTCCTCGAGTGGGAGAGGGCGCACGAAGGTCAGGGTCGCGAGGTTGTGGCGACCGTTGCCCCGGTAACCCCCGAGGGCGATGGGAGGAACGTAGCGACCGTTGCCCCGGTAACCCCCGAAGGCGACGGGAGGAACGTAGTGACCATTGCCCCGGTCACCCCCCGGGGCGACCGAAGGGTGCAGACTACGGTGAATTGTTGTTTAACATGCTAGTAGTAGTAGAGCAGGGTGCCGCGGTGGTGAGGAGATGTTAACTACCTCGCCTGGTATACAGGAGGTCTAGGGTTCGATCCCGACCCTGACACCTGCTGTATATTTGGAGTTTGCGGTGTCTCTCTTATCATCACAGTGGCTAGGAGATGTTAACTACCTCGCCTGGTATACAGGAGGATCGTGGGTTCGATCCCGACCCTGACACCTGCTGTATATTTGTAGTTTGCGGTGTCTCTCTCCCTCCCCGTGGTTGCATGAATTTTTCTCCGGGTCCTCCGGTTTTTCCCCTCCGAGTTTAGAATCAACATCACGCTTTTAGAGTATTTGGCTGCTAAAAATTCCCATGCAATGATGATAAGCCACTGCGTTGAGGTCTCATTCATGTTCGCCAGGCCCCTTCTGAAAAAGCCCTATGTGGCTTGGGGGGGCCTAACCTTGTAAAATTAAATAGTTTTAGTTTCAGCACAAGCGTTCCTGAAAAGTGCGGCTTTGAGCGGAAGCAAATTCCCCCATTGATGACGTAGTAACGATAGAGTTTGACGAGCTACGATGTACTACTACAACGCACACCGCACAGTGAGGTGGACAAATAACTGAGGCTATGCCGCAGCATTAATGTATCGCCCTGCGTTATCGCGTCACTGTTGTCACTCAGCCGTGCAGCTCAAGAAAGTAGTTTGTCGTCCACTCAGAAACCGCATTGTAACGGCGCGTGTTCCGCATTATCCGGCATGCCACTTCTCTATTGTTGAAGAACGTGGACCTCCCCAAAATGGAACATCTTCGCCAGTTAGAAACATTCAGGCTGGCCTGCCTACGATCCATCCTGGGTTTAACCAGGCTGGATTGTGTGAGGAGCTCACAAATCCTTGAAAGATCTGGGCAAAGTCCCATCGGTGAGCTCCTCCATCAGGCAAGGCTGCATTGGCTGGGTCATGTTGCCCGCATGCCCGACCACCGTATGCCTAAACAGCTTTTGTTTGGCCGGATAGAGGGGGCTAAACGGACCCGGCACAGGCTAGAGAAGTAATGTGGTACAAGAGGATGTGGAGCTGAATGGACTTGTCGATGACCGGTACCAGTGGTGTCAAGATTGAAGGATGCCGCTACTAGGCAGTTGGAGGCAGTCACCCTCCAGCAACAACGGAGGGCAGAAGAGCGACGCTCAAAACAATGAGCGGAGCACTGGGCAGCTAAAACACAGCAAGTTGGCACAGTAGACGGCATAGGTGGTGCATCTGCCAGTCATCTCAGTCAGTCAACCCATGGCACCTGGCTCTGTCCTGTGATGTCCTCTCAGCGGGCGTTTGACACGTCTCGTGACCTTAATAGTTCACATAGCCTGGCACAAGCGTCACAACTTAGTGGTGAATGGCGGCTGTTGTCGTTGCTGCGTATATCCATCCGCGCTGCTCGTCGCTAACAGCAACTTGCTCCAGCAGCCTGTTAAGGTTATACGTGGGGTGGGATCTTTGTCTTTGTGTTTGAGCAGACGTGGTGAAGTGCAAGCGCGACCGGGCTTACCGGGGCGGCCGTCTCTGCGCCACGTGCGCCAGCCCGCCCGCCCGCGCCAACCAGGAGCTGCTCGGCGGCGCCACGCAGCTGTCCTGCAGCCGCCCGGCGATCCGCTCGCCGCTCAAGCTGCGCAACAGCACCCTGTGGGAGGGCTCGGAGGGCGAGCAGGGAGCGCCGCCGCCGCCACCCCCCGTCGACCTGCGGCGGCCCATCGGCAGCGTCGTGCTCAACGTGTCCGATGAGAACGGCAACCGCGCCGACCTGGCGTGCAACGTGCAGCGGCCGCGCGAAGGCGACGCCGGTGCCGGCGTCCACCCGCCCCGGTGGGAGGTCGCGGACGGCGTCCTGTCGGCGAACCTCACCTACGCGACCTCCCTGGCCTGCGAGCTGGGGCCCGAGGAGATGCGGACGCTGTGGAAGATCATCGCCTTCTACAGCGAGGCGCCGCTCCGCCTCGCCAGGGAGCTCATGCTGAGCAAGGAGCCCCACCCGAGCTTTCGTTACAGGCAGGCGGCGCCCGACGGCGAGTCGCGGCACTTCACCGGCGTGAGGGCGGCCGTCATGGCCTCGCCTGCCTGGCTCATGCAGGATGTTATCGAGCTCAGGCTCGACCGCAGGCGGACGACGCTCAAGACGCTCTACGTGGCCTTCACGGCGGAGGTGAGCGACGCGCGCCGCCTCCCGGGCCAGGCGGACCGCAACAGTTGGGCCATGATCAGCCGCGACCGGGACGCCGGCACGGAGGCGGTGGCACTGTCGGGCGGCGTTTTTGAGCTCGACTGCCGTGCCTTCGGCTTCCCCAAGCCGACCGTGCGCTGGATTCTGCCGGACGGCACCTTCCTGCCGGCGCACGAAGGCGACGACGGCGGCGGCGGCGGCACCGACCGCGGCCAGGGCGACGGCCGCCCCGCCCGGGCGACGGCGTCGGCGGACGGGCGGCTCGCGGTGCGGGCGGCGGTCGCCGCGGACGCCGGCACCTACCGCTGCGTGGCAACCGCGAGGGAGGACCACGACGTGCTGGCGGTGCGCGTCGAGGTGCTCGACTTCTCGTCGGGCCGCGACGTCAACGGCGCGGTCGTCGCCAAGCACGCGGGCGACGCCTTGGCCCTGCCGTGTGCGGCGAGCGGCGCGCCCGACCCCTCCGTGCGGTGGATCCTCCCCGACGGGACGACGCTGGGCAGGCCGGGCGCCGGCGGCGGGCAGGCCGTCGGCGGGGCCCGCGTGTCGGCCAACGGCACGCTGACCGTCGAGGAGGTGGGCGACGGCGGCGGTGGCTACTACCACTGCGTCGCCGTCAACTCGCACGGCGTCGATCTGCTCACGCACCGGGTGGTCGTGAAGCACCGGCTGAGGCCGCCGCCTCTGCCGGCGCGTGGCCGGAGCACGAAGGCCCGCATCGAGCTGCTGCTGCCGGGCGGCGGCGTCGGGGCCGGCAGGGAGGCGGTGGTCGCGCCGGACGAGGGCTCCGGAGGGGCGGGAGAAGCGATCGACGAAGAGGACGACGGCGACAGAGGCAGAGCTTCAGCCGCCGTGGCCGCGGCCGCGACGGCGACGGCGACGAGGGCGAGGCGGCCGTACGTGCGGCCCGCTGGCGCCGCGAGACGGGTCCCAGCGAGGCCGTTCCGCAAGGGGGTGGTGGCGGCGGCGGCTGGGCACAGGGCTCAGACGGTGGAGGGGAGGCGAGGGGGGTCACGAGAGGAGGGGGAGAAGGACAAGGACAAGGAGGAGGAGGAGGAGGAAGAGTCTGGAGCGAGGTTGAATGGGAGACGGACTCAGACGAGGCCATTCCGGGAGGGGACATCGGCTGCCCCCGGCAGACGCAAGGCCCAGACCACGGCGGAGAGGCGACGGGGGTCAGAGGAGACCTCCCAAGAGTCCGGCAGCTCACGGAATGAGAAGCATGATGAGGAAAGAGGAGAAGGGGAGGAGGAGGAGGAGCAGGTGGAAGAGCAGAAGGCGGACGAGGCTGGGGGAAGAGCAAACGGCAGACGGACTCAGACGAGGCCGTTCCGGAAGGGGACATCAGATGCGATGGGTGGGCGCAAGGCTCAAATGGTGGAGGAGAGGCGAGCGGCATCACGGGAGGCTTCAAGGGGTCAAGAAAGCGAAGAGGAGAATGCAGAGGAGGGGGAGGATTCTGGAGGGAGGACGAACGGGAGACGGATTCCGGCGAGGCCGTTCCGAAAGGGGATATCAACTGCCGCGGGCGGGCGCAGGCCCCAGACCCTGGAAGAGACCCCAGCAGAGGCCTCCCCAGAGTCTAGCAGCTCGCAGAACAGGAACGAAGAGGAGGAGAAGGAGGAGGAGGAGGAGGAAAGGGAGTCCGTAAGGAGTTCGAACGGGAGACGGATTCCGACGAGGCCGTTCCGAAAGGGGGCAGCGGTTCCGGGTCGGCATCGGGCCCAGCCCGCCGAGGAGGAGGAGGAGGAGAGACGGAAGCCCCTCCAAGAGGGCGGAGGGAGCTCAAGGAAGGAGGAGATTGGGAAGGACAAAAGTGCAGAGGAGGATAAGGAGGAGAAGGAGGAGAAGGAGGAGAAGGAGTCTGCAGGGAGGTCGAGGGACCGCACGGATTCCGGGAATGAGCAGCGGACGCCCGGCAGGCGTTGGGGCGCTGGCGGTGGCGCTGGCGGCGGCAGCTCACGGATCAGCCAGCAGATCGGGCGGCTGGACCCGAAGAAGTGGGCAGAGATCCTCTCGCGTGTGCGCAACCGCAACGTGGCGCGGGCGCGGACCACGAGCGCGCCGGGGCCCGCGACGATGGCGGGGGCGCCGCCGACGGTGGCCGGCGCACCCAGCGGGGCCACGACGAGCGAGCCGTGGCAGCTCGTGGAGTCGGAGGAGTCGGAGAGCGAGGAGGAGCGGGAGGAGGAGCAGGAGAGGGTGGATGAGCAGGAGGAGGAGCAGGAGCAGGAGGAGAAGAGGGTGGAGGAGCAGGAGGAGGAGAGGGTGGAGGAGCGGGAGGAGGAGCAGGAGCAGGAGGAGGAGCAGGAGCGGGAGGAGCAGGAGGAGCGGGAGGAGCAGGAGGAGGAGCAGGAGGAGAAGAGGGTGGAGGAGCAGGAGGAGGAGCAGGAGGAGCAGGAGCGGGAGGAGGAGCAGAAGGAGGAGCAGGAGGAGAAGAGGGTGGAGGAGCAGGAGCAGCAGGAGGAGCAGGAGGAGGAGCAGGAGCAGGAGGAGCAGGAGGAGCGGGAGGAGCAGGAGGAGGAGCAGGAGGAGGAGGAGCAGGAGGAGCGGGAGGAGCAGGAGGAGGAGCAGGAGGAGGAGGAGCAGGTGGAGCAGGAGGAAGAGCAGGAGGAGGAGCGGGAGGAGCAGGAGAAAGAGCAGGAGGAGGAGCGGGAGGAGCAGGAGGAAGAGCAGGAGGAGGAGCGGGAGGAGGAGCGGGTGGAGCAGGAGGAGGAGCGGGAGGAGGAGCGGGTGGAGCAGGAGGAGGAGCGGGAGGAGGAGCGGGTGGAGCAGGAGGAGGAGCGGGAGGAGGAGCAGGAGGAGGAGTCTTCAGCTTCCGGGCCTCTCAGAAACCTGGACCTGTCACAGGAGGAGCTGCTGGACGCTGGGACGCTGACACAAGCAGCGCTGCCGGCGTCCGTGCTGGAGCTGTTCGAGCCGGAACACGGTGGCGGTGATGGCACTGGGAATGGGGCGGATCGAGGAGAGTCCACGAGCGTGGACGAACTTGAGGAGGAGGTGGAGGAGATCGACGAGAAGGAATCCGAGCGAGAGGAGTCCACGAGCGTGGACGAACTTGAGGAGGAGGTGGAGGAGGAGGTGGAGGAAAAGGTGGCGGAGGAGGTGAAGGAATTTGAGCGAGTTGATTCCACCAAGGAGCACGGTGGAGATTCGTTGTCACAAGAGACAACGGCCGATGAGGACCGATCTGAGGATGGAGGCGGTAAAGATCGGCCTTCTTCTAAAGATGAAGATGAGGAAGAGAGACGTTCCTCCTCCGAGGATGATGATAAAAAGTGGCGATCCTTTGAGGATGAAGATAACAAACAGGCTCGTTCCTCTGATGATGATAATGATGATGATGAAAACGAAGAAAGGCATTCCGCTGAGGATGATGAGGAGGATGGTGGTGATGATGATGATGATGAGATTCGTTCCTTTAAAAATGAAGACGAGGAAGAGGGACATGAAGAAGGTGATTATGATGACAATAACGAAGAGGATCGATCCTCTGAGGTTGAGGATGACGACGCCACGGGCCACCGCTCATCATCACGAGACAGCGATGACCGTGACGGAGCTTCTCGTCATGACATCACCACCACCGTCGTGCAATCGCCCACGGCAAAGACGATGATGGCACCACCACCAACGGATGAAAGCGACGATTTGGATTACGATTTACCGAGCTCGGAAAATGATGATGATGATGATGATGATGACGACAAAGACGATGTTGACGAAGATGGAAAAAAAACATCGGAAAACGGTGTTGATGATGATGATGATGAAGATGGAAAACCGTCGGAAAACGAGGACGATGAGAAAGATGGAAAACAACCGTGGGAAAATGATGACGATGATGATGACGAAGATGGAAAACAACCATCGGAAAACGGTGTTGATGATGATGATGAAGATGGAAAACCGTCGGAAAACGAGGACGATGAGAAGGATGGAAAACAACCGTGGGAAAATGATGACGATGACGATGATGGAAAACAACCATCGGAAAGCGATGATGATGATGATGACGAAGATGGAAAACAACCGTCGGAAAACGATGACGAAGATGGAAAACAACCATCGGAAAGCGATGGTGATGATGATGACGAAGATGGAAAAGAACCGTGGGAAAATGAAGACGATGATGGAAAACAACCATCAGAAAATGATGATGATGACGAAGATGGAAAACAACCGTCGGAAAACGATGACGAAGATGGAAAAGAACCATCGGAAAACGATGATTACGATGATGATAGAAAACAACCATCAGAGAACGATGATGATGACGAGGATGGCAATGATGATAATAACGATGATGAAAATCAAACATCAGAAATTGATGATGATACCGATACAAAAGGAACCTCAGAAAGTGAAGAAACAGCCGAAGAGTCACAACCCCCCCATGAAACCACTCCAGACTTCACATCGGCGCCAGCATGGCCGGAGTCTGGGCTACCGGCGAAACCACAGGGGGGCACCTGGCACAAGTCGGGCACTTCTCGAGAAGGAGAGGAGGAGGACAAGCAGGTGGAAGAAGAAGAGACAGTGGAGGAGGAGGATGACGCCGAGGTGGGAGAAGAGCAGCCGACAGACTCGGCCACGGAGCAGACAGGCGAAGGAAGCAACGACGGAGACGATAGAGGCGCCCACCACACGGAGCCCACGACGGACGCCGCCGAAACCGTGGACGCGTGGCCGGACACGGCGGCGCCGACGGCCGCCAAACCCGCCGAGCATGACCCGCCCGTGGTCACCGAAGCGGCCTCCTCCCCCGAGCGGCCCGCAGCCTCTCCGGAGCATGCGACGGCCGGCAGAGGCCGCTGGCCCTTCGCCGGGCGGCGACGGCCTCCCCAGCGGTGGAGGTTTCAGGAGGCGGGGGAGAGAAGCAATCGCTTCGGCGATGCTCGCCGGCCGCCCGTGCCGGGGTTCGGTGCACGGAGGGGAGGCTATGCGGGCCGAATGGGACCGGTTGATAACCAGGAAGGTGGAGGCCGGAACATCGGGCCGATCGCCGTAGCGAAAGCAAAGGCAACGACGGCGGTGGCGGCGACGGCGAAACCGGAAGGTCCGGATCTGGCGGTCACGCTGGCGGACAAGACGATCGGAGCACCGAAGGCCACGGCCGACGTACCGCCGGAGGGTCTGGTGGAGGGTGCCGACGTGGATGCAACGAGGGCAGGCGGCCGTGCGGTGGCGGCAGAGACGACGGAGAGCCAACGTGCGGAGGATACGCTCAGATCTCCCGGATCTGACGCCGTGGAGCCTCCAGAATTGACTCGTCTGGCGGAGGAGGAGTCGGGCAATCGCTGGGAAGGGCCGGAACGGCTCCGCGAGGCCGATGGCGGATATGGTGAAGTGGTGGGTCACGGCGGCGTCGGTGGTGGTGACGGTGAGGATGGCAATGCCAGGGGAGTTCCCCAGGAACCTGATGGTGGCCGTGGCAATGACAATAGAGCAACCGCCTCGTCCACTGTTGAAGAAATGTTTTCTGTTGATAATGATAACGGTGGAGATAACAATCGTAGAGATGATGACAGAGGTGACGATCGAGGTGACGATGACGGCGACAATGACGACAACCATAAACAAGATGAAGAGGCGGAACAAGAGGAGGATGTAGAGCTGTCTGAGATTCGGACCCCAGTTCACGAATCGACGAGGCGCGGCGGCTCCATCGTGGATGGAATCTTCATGGAGGTTGGGCGCGGTGGAAACGGCGGCGATGGGAAGCTGCCGGCCGGCTCATCACGTGACCCGGCGGAGGAGACCGAGGCCGGGGCGGTGGAGGCAGCCGAACCTAGCGCTGGTGTCACCGACGTCACCGAAACAATGGATGGGGAGGCAACGGCGTCCGAAGTGCCTTCGGAAAGCTGGAGACCCTGGCCCAATGCCTACGGAGAGGCTGGAACGAAGGAGCCACGTCGCATTGAACAGCGACGTGGAGGTCAACCCGAGGTCGGCGCTCAGCCCCGCCCACAAGGGCCCGGAGGAGAGCCGCCCGTTTCCGGCGGCTCCCCGGAGGGAACCCAACGCTCCAGGGTGCCGGACGAGCCGACGGGGCGTGGAGAGTCTGCAGGGACGAGGCCCCCGCCGTCGGGCCAAGCCCACGGGGAGCCACCACACCGCTCAGAAGGTACCCAGCAAGGTCACCGCCGAGGCCCTGGGGGAACCGGTGCTGCTCCCGATTCACGCAGCGGAGAAACTTCTGGTGGAGGCACTGACCGTGGAGCCGACGTTCCGGGAAGATCTCCTCCTCCTCCTCCTCCTCCTCCTCCTCATCATCCTCCTCCTGCCGGCAGGGTTGATGTCCCGGAACGGCAGCGGCCACGCTTGGGACAAGGGCCCCACGCGGGACGGCGCCGCATCTCGGCACGACCGACGCCGGCTGGCGTGGGCGAGGGCGGCGGCCGCACACAGACATCCGTGTCTGCCGCCGGAGCTGGGCGGCCCTCGTTCCGCGATGGAGCCGTCAGCGGTGCTGCCGAGTGGCATCCTCCGCGCTCGCGCGAGCCAACGGTCAGCGGCGGCGGCCCGGAAGCATCCGCCGGAGTTCCCGAGTTGCGCGAGCCCTCGCCGGTGCCTGGCACGCTTCCCAATGGCGCTTCGAGCGGCCATGCCACGGAATCCGAGCAGAACCGCCTGGGGCCGTGGCCGTGGCCCCCTCGCGCCCAACCGAGCCCGGCGAGCGGCAATCCCACAGAGGCCCACGCAGGTTCCGGCGAGCCCTTCCGCGGGCCGTGACAGGGCCGCCCCGCTCGACCGGTCGAGGGCCGGCGGGCGACGCCCGTGGGACAGACGAGGACCGAACGGGCAGTTGCGGCCCGCGGAAGGACTGCTGCCGCGCCGCGTGCCGGGTCGGTTGGGGCCGGAGGAGCGAGTTCACGGGGTCGGCAGTCACGGCAGTGGCGGTGGGGTCGGGCCCGCGACGCACGCTGCCCGGGCAGGCAACGGCCGCGACTCGCACGCAGAGGGGGTGACGTCGGCCGCGGAGGGCGTCCCGGGCGATGGCGGCGGGCTTCACGCCGCGTCGCCCGATCACGTGGGCGGAAGCCAAGTGGGGCAGGCGGCTCAGCGTGAAGAAAATCGGGAAGACCCAGCACCGGAAACCGCGGAGCAGGTGGCTCCTCCTGCCCTGGTGCCACCTTTTCGGAGGCAGCCGGTGGATCCTCCACACTCCGCGGGGACGACGGCAACGTCGGCCGACCCCGGGCGCCCAAGCGAACGCGTTGGGCAGCCGCCAGCGGGGCCCGTCCTTCCGGAGCGGCCCGCAAGCCCATCGTCTGGGACGGCCCCGGGGAGGTGGCCGGTGGTCGACCCGAGGCCTCAGCCGCCCCGGCCCGGCGCGGGGCAAAGCGTGGACGTGGCCTCCTCGGGACAATCCGGGACCATCCCCCGTTCCGGACTCGCGATCGCCTCGTCATCGGAAACAACGCGAGGTGGTGGTGGGCTACGCGGGGAAGCCGGTGAACCGGCACCAGGCTGGCCCTCTCCGCCGGGGCCGGGAGCCGAAGTTCCGACACCGGGCCATGGCGACGGCACACCCGACGACCGTACCGGGCACACCGACAACTCCATAGCCTCCACCTGGGGAAGGCCGCATGGCATCCCCGACGCTGCCACACCAAGGCCGCCCGGAAGAGAGCTGAACCGGCTGCAGGCGCCGGGCACGGCGGGCGCCGGAGTCCTTTGGAGGCGACCGCCGACGCCGCATGGCGCGGCCACGGAGAAGCCGCGGGTGGTGAAGACCACGACGCAGAGGCCGACGACGCTCAAGCCCGTCCACAACTACCGCTGGGACCATGCACTGAGCCGCTACGTGCCCGTCTACCTCACGCCGAAACCGCCGCCACTAGCGCCGCGGCCGTGGCCCTTCTACGCGACGGTTCGGCCTCCGGCGGCGGGGGCCGGCGGCGTCGGCGGCCGTGCCACGAACCGCCCCGAAATCACGGCTTTCACCGCCAAGCCGAGTGGCACCACGACAACGGCGGCGGCGGTGGCGCCGACGGAGAGCCCGCACGGACGCACCAAGGTCACCGTCAACTCCATCGTCATCCCCGGGTGGCCGTCGGGAGTCAAGCACCGAGGCTCCATCGTCATCCACCGCACGCCCGGCCGCTTCGGCTCCCGGAGCGGTCAGTTGCACGTGAGCAGCAGCAGCAGCAGCAGCAGCAGCGGCGGTGCCGGCGGCGGCTACAACTACAACACGAACAACGGCGTCAGGCCCGGAGTCTCGATAATCGTCCACAGCGCCGTGGTAGGCCACAGACCCACGCAGGCGCCGGGACAAGCTGCTGCTGCTGCTGCTGGTGGCGGTGGTGTCGCGACGGGAGCCAGGACGACGGCGAGGTCACCCTTCGCCGGCAGGAGGGTGCCCGAGTGGCGGCCATTTGGGCGGCCGTACCGGGGTCCGACCGGAGCCAGCACGACGGTCGCGGCCGCCACTACCGCCACGGCCGCAGCCACCTTGCCACCGCCGCCGCCCCAGCGCCGCTACCCGATGTTCGACAACAAGGTGAGCGTGCGGGGTGACGAGCGGGTTAGTGGGGGTGGGGGGGGGTGAATCGTTGAGCCGGTGTTTATTTATTCATTTTAAAAAGTTCGTGCCCCCTTTTTATTTATTTACACAATTTATGAGGGGTTCTGCACCACCACCACATCTCACACCCCTCTCTCTCTCCTCCCCTCCTCCCCAAAATCTCTCCTCTACACTCTCTGTACCCCCCTCCACTTTATCCTCTCTCTCTCCTATCTTTATCTCTTCTCCCATCGCTCTTTCTCTCCCCCTCCATCTCCACCCCCCTGCTCTCCTCTCTCTCCCACTCCATCACTCTCTCCTCTTTCTCTCTCTCTCTCCCCTCTTTCTCTCTCTCTCCCACCAAATCCCTCTCTTCCAATCTATCTCTCTCCCACCTCTCCCCTCTTTCACTCCTCCTCCATCTGTCTCCCTCTCCCCCCCCCCCTCTCTCTCTCCCCTTCCTATCTCTCCTATCTCCCCCCTCTCCTCTCTTTCTCTCCCTCTCCCACCAACTCTCTCTCTCCACCCTCTTTCCCCATCTTTCTCTCTCCCACCTCTCCCCTCTTTCTCTCCTCCTCCATCCCTCTCTCCTCTCTCCCCCCCCCCCCCCCAAACTCTCTCTCTCCCCCAAACTCTCTCTCCCCCTCTCCCAACCTTCCCTATCTCCCATGCCACCTCTCTCACTCTCTCTCTCTAAAGCTCCAGCAGCCGCCGCGGGAGCGAGCAGGGGACCGCCAGGGCCCACCCGGCGTCGTTCCACCCGGCGTCGTTCCGCCCGCGGCGAATGCGGTGCCACGTGCCGGCGCTCCGCAGAAACCGCGCATCATCACCGGCGGCGGCGTGGGCGGCACCGGCACCGTCACCGTGGCGGCCGACGCCGACCTCTACGTGGACTGCCAAGTGGAGGGCAACCCCCCGCCTACCGTCACCTGGATGAAGGTGTCCACAGGTGCGGGACTGGAGGGGGACAGGGGAAGGGGCTTGGGGGAGTGGCAGGGGGGAGGAGAGCGTGGTGGTGGTGTAGGAGGTGACGACGGAGGAAGCTAATAGATTATAGAGTTGGAGGAGGTTATGGAGGGGGAGGTGGAGGAGTAGGCGGAGGTGATCGAGGTGGTGGTGATAGAGGAGATGGTGATAGAGGTGGTGGTGATAGAGAGGGCAGTGGTGGTGATAGAGGAGGTTGTGGTGGAGATAATGGAGGAGGAAGTGGAGGACGTGATAGTGATGGCGGCAGAGATGGAGGTGGTGTTGGAGGTAGTGGAGGTTATGGAGGACGAAGTGGAGGAGGTGAAGGTGATAGAGGTGGTGGTTGTAGAGGTGGTTGCGGTGGTGGCGGAGTCCCCGGTCGCTCCGTACCGTTCACGCGTTGGCGACCATGCCAATCCGAGCACCGTCCTCTTCCGCTCCGTCACGGGACGACGTCACAACCACCGCCCCCCCCACCCCCACCCGCCACCACCACCCCCCGGCAGGCGCCGTCATCAAGGCCAACTCCCGGCACGGCTCGCGCTTCGAGGTGTTCGGCAACGGCACGCTGGCGATCCGCGGCGCCGTGCTGCAGGACCGCGGCCAGTACGTGTGCACGGCGGCGAGCGCCCTGGGGGCCGCCCGGCTCGCGGTGGCCGTCGCCGTCAGCGCCCAGCCGCCGCGCGTCCTCGTCGCCGCTCGCCACCGCGACGTCACCGCGCCGCTCGGCTCCGTGGCCGAGCTGGCGTGCCCCGCCGAGGGGCGGCCTGCGCCCCAGCGGGCCTGGGTGCTGCCCGACCGGACGGTGCTGCGCGGCGCGGCGGCGGCGGCGGCGGCTGGGCCGGCGGCCGTGCCGGCGACCGGAGGTGAGAGAGGCGGGAACTGGGAAGGGCCGGGGGGGGGGGGCACCGCCTTCCAGTGAAGAGTCCGTCGAAATCGTCCCGAGTGGACGCTGGTTGGCGTAAATCGGCGGAGGCAAACGCCGTTGACGCCAAGTTGTAAATGTTTCCGCGGCTTAACTCTCCAACACGCCGCTGAAGTAGCAATTAATTGGTACATTTATATTCACCCGATAAACAGGGACTCCTCTAGTTACGAACGAGTTAGGTCTGTTCGTAAGTCGATTTGTTCGTGAGTCCAACTTTACTCCTGTCAATTCCAAACGTGTTGTAGGGCATGTACACTTAAACACGGGGAATGGCTTTAAAAGTTGTAAAATGTCCTGTAGATGTACAGTATATGCCCACTGGTTCTTCATGTTCTGCAGATGTAGATGCCACTGGTTCTTCACGTTCTGCAGATGTAGATGCCACTGGTTCTTCACGTTCTGCAGATGTAGATGCCACTGGTTCTTCACGTTCTGTAGATGTGGATGCCACTGGCTCTTCACGTTCTGCAGATGTAGATGCCACTGGTACTTAACGTTCTGTAGATGCCACTGGTTCTTCACGTTTTGCAGATGTGAATGCCACTGGCTCTTCACGTTCTGCAGATGTAGATGCCACTTGTGCTGTTCACCTATTGGCATCCTCTGGTCTAACACTGTTTGAGATTAGGCTCTAAAAAAGACAATGCATCATAGACTTCCAGAGCACGTTTTTGTTTGCATGTTCACCACAACTATGTGTGGTTAATGCGGACATGATTCCTTGCAAAAGTTTTCCGTTTGCCGTTTTGACACCTTACCACAACTGTTTTATTCCCATAAAGTGTAAAACCGACTCTCGTACGACAACAACAACAACAATAATTATATTTTTAGTTTTTTTGGTAAAGTCACGTTGAAGAGAAACAACAAATAATAAAATATATATAAAACAATAAAAAAATCTCACGACGTTTCGACCATAACACAAACGGTCATCTTCATGTGTGTTGGTTTGCATAAATTTATTTTTAAACGGCGCATTTATTTATTTATAAAAAACGTTAGCGCCACGCGCAGCGATTTGGCAGTTTACCCAGGACTAGTCCATCTATATTTTGAAAAGAGGAGGGGGGAGACGAAATTTTTTTTATAATGTATGCTGTCTGAAAGCCACTGTAAGCGTGAACAATCAATTAAGAACTGAAATGGTTTATCAAATCTTTCCAATGATTGCTAAGATAGAATCCATCTTCTCGGTTGAAATTGTCTCTGTGCTTGTATATGTGGATAGCCTCATGAACGAATCTCTCATGGAAGCCAGATGGCTTACAAGAACCTCTGTCTTGGAAAAGTCAATGGCATGTGAGCCTACTGAATTAGAACAATGATCTGCTACGGCCGAGGTGTTGGTCCTACCGTGTTTAAGGTCTGCTTTGTGTTCACGAATGCGGTCCGAGACATGGCGTTTGGTTTCTCCAATGTAACTACTACCACAGAGGCAACTTAGTTTGTAGACACCAGGGTATTGTATGTCCGGAATCACATCTTTTACAGACGGAACCAGATCACGGATTTTATGTAATGTGTTGAAACGGACCTGGATCTTGTGTTTATTCAAGATTTTGGAGATCTTTTTTTATAGTTTTATATATATATTTTATTATTTTGTTGTTTCTCTTCAACGTGACTTTACCGAAAAAACTAAGAATATGAATTACTGCAGTCACGAAAGCTTTAAATCAAAACAACAATAATTATTCCAACTCGCAATGTCCATCGTCCTCGTCTGCCTGCTTGCGCGCCAGCGGGTGGGCGCGCCAGCCTGGACGCCAACGGCACGCTGCGCATCGCCGACGTCTCCTTCGCCGACCGGGGCCCCTACAAGTGCGTCGCGAGCAACTCGGCCGGCGCCGACACGGCCACGGTGCGCCTCCACGTCCTCGGCCTGCCCCCCAGCATGCTGCAGGGCCGCCGCTCCGACGTCACGGCTCGCGCCGGCGCCGCCCTCGCCCTGCACTGCGCGGCGCGCGGAACCCCGGCGCCCTCGTTGCGCTGGGTGCTCGCGGGCGGCGCCCAGATCCGCCCGTCGCAGTACCTCGACGGGCGCCTCTTCGTCTACCCCAACGGCACGCTGCTGGTGAAGAGCGTCGCGCCGGCCGACGCCGGTGCCTTCGAGTGCCTCGCCACCAACTCGCTGGGCGCCGACCGCAGCGTCTTCGTCGTCACCGTCGAGCAGCACCAGCAGCAGCAGCAGCAGCACCAGCGGCGGCCGTTACCGGACGACGTTCGGCCGCAGCGGCAGCAGCTACCGGCGATCGGCCGGGAGGCCGGGGCGGTCACGGAGGAAGGCCGTGCGGCCAGGCCCGGCGCGGCCAGGATCGTGGCGTCGACGCCGCGGCGCATGCAGGTTAGCTACGGCGCCATGCTGCAGCTGGCGTGCAACGCGAGCGGAACGCCCGCGCCGCGCATCCTCTGGAGGCTCCCGTCGAAGAAGTTTGTGGACATCTACTCGCGGTGAGCGGGGGAGGCCTTGAGGGCGCGGGCGGTTGTGGGTGGGTGTGGGTGTGCGGTTGTGTGAGTGTTAGGTGTGTGGGTGAGCAGTTGTGTGAGTGTGTGGGAGAGCGATTGTGTGGGTGAGTGGTTGTGCGAGTGTGTGGGTCAATGGTTGTGTGTGAGTGAGCAGTTGTGTGAGTGTGTGGGAGAGCGATTGTGTGGGTGAGTGGTTGTGCGAGTGTGTGGGTCAATGGTTGTGTGTGGGTGAGCGGTTGCGTGTTTGTGGAGTGGTTGTGTGTCGGTGAGTGGTTGTCTGAGTGTGTGGGTGAGCGGTTGCGTGTTTGTGGATGAGTGGTTGTGTGTGTGTTGGTGAGTGGTTGTGGGTGAGTAGTTGTGTTCGTGTGAGTGAGTGGTTGTGTGTGAGTGCTTGTGTGTCTGTGGGTGAACGGTTGTGTGAGTGTGTGGATGAGCGGTTGCGTGCGTGTGGGTGAGTGGTTGTGTGTGTGTTGGTGAGTGGTTGTGTGTGTGTGGGTGAGTAGTTGTGTTCGTGTGAGTGAGTGGTTGTGTGTGAGTGCTTGTGTGTCTGTGGGTGAACGGTTGTGTGAGTGTGTGGGAGAGTGGTTGTGTTGTATGGGCGTGTGTGTGGCCGTGGGGAGCGGTGGTGTCGTGGTTACTGCGTCGCGTTACGAACCCGGCGACCCGAGTTTGACTCCCACTCACGGCCAACACCAGTGGTGGCTATCTGAACCGGCCCTGGGCCTCCCCCCAGGTTGACTTGGCCTGAAATTAGTACCTGGCGCGGGCAGGTGTCGCGTATGTGTGTTTAACTTCTTTCGCACCGTACGTAACCAACCGTACTAATCGGAGGTGCAGGGGAGAGACAACGAACTAAAAACACCAACAAGCAGTTCTCAGAGAAATAACTTTTAGATAATGATTTAAAACTACACAGCTCCCAGTGGCTTCCGAACATCGGAAGGGAGAGAGCGTTCCAGACGGCCGCAGAAGCGCGTCTGAAAGCGCCGCGCGATGTGGCGACCACCGTCTTTGTTCGACGGCCGGCAGCCAAAAGCTGCCGCTGTTGCTGCGGTGGTGCCGGCCACCTGCGCCCTTCCGACCTTCTAAGCCAGCGGTTCCAAACCTTTAAGGCGCCAGGGACCGATTTCGTGGAAGACAATTCTTTCACGGACCGGGGGGCTGGGGGGGGGGGTTCATCATTGGGTCTTTCCCCATTTTCAAAGAAGCTCTCCAGCGACGTTTATTGTTTTTACTCATTTTGGCTACTAGGCGTTAGAGCTTGTGGGCTTACCAACACCACGCGGCTGAGACGAGTGCGCAGTGCGGGAAAGAGGCGCGGATGGAAGTGGTGAATAATAAAATAATACGGGCGGACCCCTGTTCTAAGCAACTGCTGCTCGCCAACTCCACCCAACCCCTTCCCCACGGCCCGTCGCTGCCGCCACCACCGCCGCAGCTCGGACGAGCGCACACGCGTGCTCACCGACGGCTCGCTGGTGGTGGCGGGCGCCAGCGAGGCGGACGCGGGCGACTACCTGTGCCTGGCGCGCAACGCCCTCGGCGACGACGCCGCCGCCACCAAGGTGGAGGTGCTGCTGCGGCCGGCGCGCATCGACGGCAAGGGGCCCGGCGGGGACCGGCGGGTGCGCTACGGCGGCGACGTCAAGTTCGACTGCGTCGCGTCGGGCGTGCCCAACCCCGAGATCTCGTGGAAGGTGCCGGACGGCACCCTGGTGAACGGCGCCGCCGCCGCCGGCGCGGGTGGAGGAGGAGGAGCAGCGGGAGGAGGCGGCGGAGGCGGCGGGGAGCGCAGCAAGCGCTTTGTGCTGTTCGACAACGGGACGCTGTTCTTCGACAAGATGGGCGTGCGCGACCAGGGTGACTACACCTGCTACGCGGAGAATAAGGTCGGGCGCGACGAGATGGTCGTGCGGGTGCTGGTGGAGACGCGAGCCGCCCGCGTCGAGCACAAGGTCTGTGCACCGTTCATTCCTTCATTGTTAAGCGACGGACCAAACTCTATTGCGCACATTTTAGATTTTTTATCGGTCGATTATATTATTTAATGTCTTATTATTTATTTGCTTTTAGCTGGTAAGGCCTGAGGAGCTACACAGTGACCCTGAGCCATGACTTTGGCAACGATGTTTGCCGAGAGGCAAAAGCTTCGTGTCCTTACTAAAATAATAATCGTTAAACTATTAAACGGATTTTTTTCATTCTACCAGGTAAGGCCCCACTGAGCTGTACAGTTCTTTTTCAGAAGCGACCTGGCCATCACAAACAAAGTGACTTATCATCGCCACGTCGACATTTATAGCAGCCAAATAATGTAAATGTCAACGGCGCAACACGACAATTTATGACGATGCATTAATTACGAGGATTAATTGCGACGATTGATTACGACGATTGATTACGACGGTTAATTGCGACCAATAATCACGGCGATTAATCACGACGACTAATCACGACGAACGAATGAATGCCGAGCGGTGGCGATGCCCGCGTCGTTCCGCAGGAGAGGAACGCGCTGGTGCAGGCCACGTCGGGCTCGACGGCCCTCCTCGAGTGCCAGGTGTCCGGCGAGCCGGCGCCGCGCCTCGCCTGGTCGACTCCCAACGGCGAAGTCCTCCTCGCCCCCTCCTCGTCCGCCTCCTCCTCGTCCCCGCGCCTCCACGTGCTCGCCGACGGCTCGCTGGAGATCCGGGCGGCGCGCCGTCGCGACGCGGGCGACTACACCTGCTCGGCGCGCAACGCCGCCGGCTCGGACGCGCGCACGGTGCGCCTGGCGGTTCGCGACCTCCCGCCGGCCATCAACGGCCTGGCGGGCGACGCGCTGGCGGAGCCGCGGCGCGAGGCCGCCCTGGCGCACGCGCGCAAGCTCCTCCACTGCCGGGCCGAGGCACGGCCGCCGCCGGACGACCACGAAGACGGCGACGCGCGGCCGCTTCCCCGCGTCGCCTGGGCGGTGCCCGGCGGCGTCGTCCTGCCGGCGCCGTACCGCGGCAGCCGGCTGGTGGTGCACGCCAACGGCACGCTGGAGATCCGCAACGCCCGGCCGTCCGACTCGGCCGACTTCGTGTGCGTGGCCCGCTCCGGCGACGCCGAGAGCCGCCTGACCGTGCGGCTGGAGGTCGTCGACGTCCTCGAGGCGCCGTCGTTCCCCCCGGCCGGCGGCGGCGGCGGCGGCGGCGGCGGCGAGGACGAGACGGTCGCGGTGGAGCCGGGCCGGCGCTCGGCGCTGCTCAACTGCTCCGCCGAGGGCTCGCCGCGGCCCCGGGTGGCGTGGACGCTGCCGGGCGGCGCTCGCCTCGCGCCGGGCCAGAGCGCCGGGCGCTTCTCGGCGGGGGAGGACGGCGCCCTGCGGGTCTCCGAGCCCGGCGCGGGCGACGCGGGCCGCTACCGGTGCGCGGCGAGCAACGCGGCCGGCGTGGCCGAGCGCTCCCTGCGCCTGGAGCTCGGCACGCGGCCCCGGATCTCGCCGTCGGCGTCCCACCCCGGCGGGCTGGTGCGCGTCATCAGCGGCGAGACGGTGACGCTCGACTGCGCCGCCGCCGGCGACCCCCCGCCGACGGTCTCCTGGACGCTGCCTGGCGGCGCGCTCCTGGAGAGTGCCGCCGGCGCCGGCGCCGGCGCCGGCGCCGAGCACGCCGGCCGCTTCTCGCTGCTCCCCAACGGCTCGCTCGTCGTGAGCGACGTCACGGCGCACGACCGCGGCAACTACGTGTGCCGGGCCCGCAGCCGCCTCGGCGAGGACTCGCGCCTGGTGCCGGTCATCGTCATCGCCTACCCGCCGAGGATCACCGCGGGGCCGCCCCAGACGTACCACGCCCGGCCCGGCACGTCCCTGCAGCTGTCGTGCCTCGCCATCGGAATCCCGCGGCCCGACATCACGTGGGAGTTGCCGGACCGCACAGCGTCTCTCCGCCGCGGCGGCGGCGCCGGCGGCCGGCGGCGGAGCGTCCGCGGCGAGACGAGCGGCCGGAGGGAAGTTCCTGGTGCTGCCGCAGGGCGCCCTGGTAATCCCGAGCGCCGGGCCGCGCGACAGCGGCGTCTACCGCTGCACGGCGCGCAACCTGCTGGGCAGCGATGTCAAGGCGACGTACCTCTACGTGCTGTGAGCCGCCGACGTCGGCTGTGGCGGCGGCGGCGGCGGCGGACGTGGTGATGGTGGTGGAGATGGTGGTGGTGATGGTGGTGGTGGTGGTGGCAGAGTAGGGGGACACAGCTGGTGCATCTGCCAGTCGTCTCGGTCGGTCGACACAACGGGCAACTTCAGGGTCCGTTCCGCGTGACCGCCTCCCGCCCTGTCGGTCGGCAGCGAGAGCCTTGGGACACTTCACGCGACGGCCTCGAAGCGCACGCACCTAGCCTGGCACAGGTGCCGCTGTGGCGTCACCGCCACTGAGCGACGAATGGTGGGTATTGGTTTTGGCGGCGGCGGCGGCGGCGGTGGCGGTGTTCGGTGATTCACTTTTGCCGAGTCTGTCTGGGTCGGACGATGTTTCTGCGACCGGCACACCATGGTCCAGTGTAACGTCTTGCCACGCACGGGGTGAGGTGGGGGGGTCTAGGGTTCTAGTCCTGCCTACCAGCCACTCGGAAGATGCTGTCGAGCGGGAGATTGAACCCTGGTGGTGGTTTCCGAGGTGGCGACGTTGCGGTGAACTTCCTGCGTGCCGGTGGTGGAGGCGGCTGCGATGACGTTGGCGATGTTGGTGATGGTGGAGCAATCAGTGCATAAGCAAAGAAGATGATGATGATGATTTTACATTGAACACCTTAGTTACCATGGCAGATGATTGATGGGAAATATGTTGTACACGTTGCCATGATCATAAAACAACAACAATGATTATGATGATCGCATTTAGAGTAGCGATTAAGACAATGATGATGATGATGATGTGAACACTGCACAGAATTCTGGATGATGACGATGGCGATCACGTGATGGTCAGTGGAGACAGTGATGGAATCAGTGACGATGATGACGGTGGTGGTGGTGATTATGGGAACACTACACAGAAATTTGGATGATGATGACGATGATGATGGCGATCACGTGATGGTCAGTGGAGACATTGATGGAATCAGTGACGATGATGACGGTGGTGGTGGTGATTATTGGAACACTAGACAGAAATTTGGATGATGATGACGATGATGATGGCGATTACGTGATGGTCAGTGGAGACATTGATGGAATCAGTGACGATGGTGATGGTGGTGGTGATTATGGGAACACTACACAGAAATTTGGATGATGATGTGATGATAATGAGGGCGAGCAGGTGATGTTGGTCGGTACATGCATTGATCTAACCAGTGGTGACGATGCCGCCAATCAAATCACGATGAAACATTATAGCCATGAAGAGCACACACTATGGACCGAAGCGGTGGCTCTGAAATGCTGACGATTCGCTTGACGAATGAACAACAACAATAACAACAACAACAACAACAACGCCACGGACATCCTCGACACGAGCGACGAGTCGACTGGAAATCAATAACACGCTCATCACGAACAGTTACTTATTTACGCGGTGGAAGGGGGGCCCACGACCGAATCGGAGGACGCTGCTTTGGCAAGGGAGGGTCCTGCTCCGTCGGGGATGTTCCAGCAACACCGCGTTGCATTGTTGCGTGGTTTGTTTAAGCTGTGGGAGGGAAACGGGAGAGGCCAGAGGACCCCCTCCCCCCCACCACCCTCTTCTTGTAGAACATGGGGAGAGAATACACACAAACAACTCTACACTGAAACTAAAAACGTGTGGCCCACGTCGGGAGTCGAACCCAGGCGGGCAAAGCCTCCCTGCCACCCGGACGTTGAAGTCACGTCGGCAGCATCCGTGGTCGATGAGGATGGCGGTGGTGAGTGTGATTGCGATGATGGTGATGGTCGGTATGATTGTGATGGTGCTGATGGTGATGGTCAGTGTGATTGCGATGATGGTGATGGTCGGTATGATTGTGATGGTGCTGATGGTGATGGTCAGTGTGATTGCGATGATGGTGATGGTCGGCATGATTGTGATGGTGCTGATGGTGATGGTCAGTGTGATTGCGATGATGGTGATGGTCGGTATGATTGTGATGGTGCTGATGGTGAGGATCAGTATGCTTGTGATGGTGCTGATGGTGATGGTCAGTGTGATGGTGATGATGGTGATGGTCAGTGTGATTGTGATGATGGTGATGGTGATGATCGGTATGATTGTGATGGTGCTGATGGTGAGGATCAGTATGATTGTGATGGTGCTGATGGTCGATATGATTTTGATGGTGATGAAGGTATTGATCAGTTTTGTTACGATGATGATGGTAATGATTGGTATGATTATGATGGTGCTGGCGATGATGGTGATGATCAGTATGATTATGATGGTGCTGATGGTGTTGAAGTGTGATTATGATGATGCTGATGGTAATGATCAGTAGGATTATGATGGCGCCAATGGTGATGATTGCTATGATTGTAATGGTGATGGTGACGTCACTGCCATACAATTTCACCAGATCAACAAATCTGATGTTGATTCGGCCTCATCAAATGGAAAAAAACAACCGCCCACCCTCCCGAGCCATAGGAATGTGGAATTTACACCGCTGGCTCTGCATGCCTGCAAACCGAGAGTTGAGCACCCGATGCCTCAATGCTCGTTGGAGCAGCAGGAGGATCACACAGGCCTGCGGAAGAAGATGACGATGATGTTGATGATGAGCATGTTGATGATGATGACGAGGATGTTGATGATGATGACATCATCATATTTAGCAATTCACAAGGGGCACTTATTGACGCGCGGAGTGACGCGCGGAGGGACGCGGGGAGCGACGCGCGGAGTGACGCAGGGAGTGACGCGCGGAGTCACGGGCGGAGCGACGCGCCACGGTTTTTGTAATGACAGCGATGAGAAAACGTTTGCCTGTCACAGCAAGTCCTGGTTTAACGCGCTCGCTGGCAGCGGCGGCGCGTTATAACGGCGCGCGACGTTACAATGACGCATGCGTTAACACGTTACAATGGCGCATGCGTTAACACGTTATAACGACGCATGCGTTCCACGTCGCGCAAAATGTGTCCCCGCACGGGAGGATGTCGTCGCAGCCACAACGCGTTACAGCGTGAACGCCGCGCGCGCTAAGCAAGCACTTGCCGTACGTAACCTGTAATAAAACACGTTTTTTTTTTTTATACACACACACACGCATATATAAGAACGCATATGTTTTTGACCTTAATAACGAACGGCGATTGCTGATGATGATGATGATGGTATTGATTATAACAATTATTCTAATAGTGCGCGCCTTTAGGAAATGTTAATCGCTGGGAATTGGACGTTACGCGTCGCCCACGTGGCAAGGATTCATCTTCTTTGGTTCTTTCGGTAAAGTCACGTGGAATGAAAATAAAATTATAAATTAATGAAATAAAATATCGCGTTATTTTATTTTATCAATTTATTATTTTATTCTCATTCTACGTGGTGGTGACTTTACCGAAAGAACCAAAGAAGATGAATCCTTGCAGTCACGAAAGCTTTCAATCTAAATTTAAGGCGCTGGCTGTTCTACCGAGTCTTTCTCTCTACTACCGGTCAGCCTCTGCACTCACTGTCGAACCTTCTCCCCCACACTTATATCATCCTCATCCCCCCCCTCCTCCTCCCACTGTCGTGAATATACGAACAACAACAACAGCTTGCGGCAAATTCCACTGCGCGTCACTCGTATCTCGGTGGCGCTGGCGGTGGTGGTGGTGGCGGTGGTGGCGTTGGCGGTTGTGGAGGTGGTGGAAGCGGTGGCGTTGGTGGTGGCGGTGGTGGCGTTGGCGGTTGTGGAGGTGGTGGTGGTGGTGGCGGAAGCGGTGGCGTTGGTGGTGGCGGTGGTGGCGGCGGCGGTGGTGGTCACGGTGGTTACGGTGTTGGTGGTGGCGGAGGCGGTGGTGGTAGCGGTGGCGGTTGTGGAGGTGGTGTTGGTGGTGGTGACGGTGTTGGTGGCGGAGGCAGTGGTGACGGTGTTGGTGGTGGCGATGGCGGTGGTGGCGGTGATGGCAGTGGAGATGGTGGCAGCGGTGGTGGCAGTGGAGGTGGTGGTGCCGGTGGCGGTGGTGACGGTGTTGGTGGTGGCGGTGGTGGTAGCGGTGGTGGCAGTGGTGGCAGTGGTGCTGGTGGTGGTGGCGGTGGTGACGGTGTTGGTGGTGGCGGTAGCGGTGGTGGCAGTGGTGCTGGTGGTGGTGGCGGTGCTGGTGGTGGTGGCGGTGGTGATGGTGCTGCTGCTCGACAACCCTGTGTCTCTCTATCGAGGCCCGTGGAGCAGGAACGTCTGACAATGCGCCGCAGGAAGGGTTGCGCTCGGAGAGACGGTTGGAACAGTAAATATATAAATTTATTTTGCTTATTTTCTTCCATCGCCCTTGTTATTGTTCGCAAATCAGAGACCGCCACGGTGCCTGAGAAGATGTTAACTCCCTCGCCTGGTATGCAGGAGGTCGTGGGTTCGATCCCGGCCATGACGCCTGTATATAAATAAAAAAATAAACTATTAAACTATTTTCGTTTTAAATACACCAGGCAAGGGCCCACTAAGCTACGTTACTCTTTTTCAGAAGCGACCTCGTTTTCACAAATGATAGCTCAACAAATTGGCCTATCGCGTGGAAATTCCTAGCAGCCAAAATTCGCTCAATGCGTGGTTCTAAATTGTGGAGGGGAAAACCGGAAGAAGCGGGGAACAATCCACCCGACCGCAGGCAGAACGTGAAAACTTCAAATATACAGGCGTTGGTGGTCGGGGTTAAACTCACAACCTCCTGTATACCAAGCGAGGTGCTTAACATTTCGCCACCGCACCGCAAACTTGCAGCTCGCAAGCTTCCCTCTCTCCGCGTCGTCGCGTGCATTTTTCTCCGAGCCTGCTCCTTTAAATGTCCACGTGATGATGACGACGACGATGACGACTCCGACAAGCCACCCCATGTCGCTGAACTGTCACGAGTGACAGCGGGGATCGCTTCCTGACGAACCAGAAGAGCTACACACACGGCAGCCCTGTTGGGGCCTTGCCTGGTTAAATGAACATTAGTGAACAAATGAGGTTGGATAAACAG